CCCCCCCCCCCCCCCCCCCCCGACGGGGTTTACATTGATAGGTGCATAATGTTCAGACGATCGGGACAATCATATGAAAATGCTACCCAGAGGATCGCAAATGACCTGTAGGACTGAGACGACCTCTATCAATCGCTTGAATAGAGTTGAGTACGTTCTATGCGGACAATTGGGAGGATCGTGTAAATTTTGAAGTGATCTAGTGGAATGCTCTCAGATGCCTGAGACTATGAGGACAATCAAAGGCTATCCCAGAAATCATCACTATCATTCCATTAACTGAGAATATATTCGGCCTGGACGCCGCTGAAGTCAAAAATAATTAATTTTAAAATGTTCACATCGCCTATGGGTGCTATTTGAAACTAAAGAGAAAGTCTGTTTCATCAAGTTCTAGACGTGATACTACATCTTTGTGGGACTGACTTCTAGCTTGTTGACGCCACAAAATAGAGAGAAAAAGCAGATAGCAAAGCTCGAGGTTTGCTCTCCATTTAAAATCCATCATTACATGTATGTTTGGCTTGTCTGCGAAACCCACACAAAAATTCTATTGTCTGACCCAGAGACATCGCTGATGACCCCGTGTCTCTTGTCGTTGAGGCACCCGGACGATCACATGGAAATCACCTATTGTCCCAGTTGTCCAGATCATCTCGACTGGGCGATTGGGACGTCCATATGGAAACCAGGCTTTATATACCTATCTCCTCATAATGAACACTTATAAAAGAGATCTCCATCTTTAAGGTGATCACTGCAGAGTTTCACCTACAGCTGTATACTAAGTCTAACATTAAAAGCCAGAGTCATTAAAGCTTAATAATTATTTTAATTCAGGTCAACCAAATTAAAAGACGATGTATGTATACCTCTGATTTAGCCTACACAAAATTATTAGCCAAACCTAAAACAGTTTAAAGAGAAATTATTAAGTAATACCAAATATAAACTTACAATAATGTTTAATTATGCATTCTTTATTATTATAGCAGGCTATAGGCTCTGCAAAGCAAAGGTTTCATAAGCCAAACTTAATTTTAATCAAGGCCAACAGTATGTTTTTTGCCTGTGATTTAGATGCCAAACTTTATTATTAAAACAGTTCAAAGACATAAAAAAATTGCCATTAATATTAAGTTACATTTCTATTATTTCACATGGAAATCATGAATCTGTCAGGGTTTATTAAGAAGGTCAGGTTTTACAGCTTGCCAAGCCCAATAAAGGCACTTTAACCTGCCCCAAAAGAATTTTTAACGAGCAGGAATGATTACAGTTAAGCAAAAACAGTTTTGAGGGATGCTTGTCAACTGAAAAGAGCCCTCTCCCCTTATCATACACTGTATGTGATGTGGCTGTTTCAAATCTGGATCATTTGCTTAGTGTCATTAGGATTTAAGAAAGACGGCCGGTTGCATGGGTTATTATGGGTTATCACATCATTGCCGGCTTACATCAAGTAGGGCACATCATAAAATATTATTCCTGGAGAAGATTTCAAAGGTGTTTTTTGATGTGGCATGCGATTGAGTTACAGTGTAGAGCATTTTAAGCTTAAAAACCTGAATCTTTAACGAAAAGAGTTATAGAGAAGCTGGTAAATGATGAGGATGTTTTTGTAAACCAACTGAATCTGGATTGTATTATTTTCCATTCTTCACAAACAAAAATATTATTATACCACTATAATTGTCAAAGAATTAAAAGAATGCTACTCATGTAGTTACAGTTAACACGCACCCACTAATAAGAACCTGTGAACCTGCCTGAGAACACAAAGTCCTGAATAAAGCAGCTAAAATAGTTCTAAAATAGGCTGGGTACAAAAAAAAAGGAAACTCAACGAGGTGACTGGAGTCTAGCTGGGGCAGTTTCCTTGGAAGCGACGGTTGGAGGGCCAAGAGATAGCAAAGAAAACCTTGCTCAGTCCACCAAGCAACATTCAGCTAGTCTCATTGGTAAAGAAGTACAAAAGCCTGTAACTGTGGAAAGAGGCCTGGATGATTATCATTTTTTTTAGCTCAATGCCCAAAATACATTTTGTTTTCGCTGCCTAATCTAAAAAAAATGCAGATATTGTTTGGGGGTCAAAGTGACTCCTGTGTAGCAGGTGATAAAAAAGCTAAAAGTGGCTCATCTGGGGCTCTAGAAAAGGGGACATGCAGCTTACTGAACTTTGAATACAATCATGTATGTACTCGAGATAGAGCAATAAACATCTTTTAGAAATTTCATGTAAAAATAAAGTTTTGATCAAAAGTTATTGTGCATGAAATTAGAGGAACGAACTTTTGAGACACCCAGTAGATCTCCTTCATCGAAATTAAAAACCTTTATTATTCACTCAAAATATTTCCCCGATTCTGATTGGCTAAAAGCACACGTTTAATTCACCATAACCAGTTAATGATGACCAAATTTGGAAGAATTTTGACTTTAACGAGGATATGACGTCAAAGATGCAGCATTTTCGCAGGTTAAGGCACCGTTAACCGAGAGGACCTGGGTACGAGGTTGAGTTGTTTTGGTTGTGAACTTGAAAAAATGGCGGACATTTCACTCGTTTCAAGAGTAAGAACTAGGCGAAAAAATAGCTAAAAATATGGCAAGAACAGCAAGAAGACAACTCGAAGGGCGACATCTGCTATTTGGAGAATATTTGCGGAGCTGGACAAACCTAAACGTACACTATCGAAGATGAACTGAACATCGATGGATCAATGGAGGTAAGCATGTTTTAGCTATGTTTTTAAACTAGGAATTATTTTGAATGAATAATAAAACAGTTATTGAATTCAGCTTTCGTATCATATGAAGAATTATGGAGATCTCGGAGGGTGTTATCAACCTTGGCCTACGGCCTCGACGGATAACACCCTCCTCGATCTCGTTACTTTTAGGGGACCGTAGCTTTATTGAGGAAAACGCTTACTGAATGCACGAGCAAAATGACGAGCTTATGCGACAAAATTGTGACGAATTCATACGCCAAATGTAAAATGTATATAAAAATATAGAACGAGAAAAAAACGTGCATCTATGTTAGTTATTTTCTGCATTATTCTCGCCTGAATCTACGATAAATTGCATAAAATCCCAAAAGCTACAAAGAAATGTCTTGACTGCGACATTCATGGTTCGTGGCTAAACGATGCTTTCAAGAATGACCAGAATTTGCACTTCATTCGTTCTTTGTTGTCGAACTGATAAAACATTATTTTTTCGTCGTTTTAAAATCGTCATTTTGCTCGTGCACTTACTTGTTTTCCTCTATAGAGCTACGGTCGCCTAAAAGTTACGAAAGCCAGACTTAATTATTTCAAACATCACTAAACTTAAGAGGGGATGAAGTTGTTTACAGTGTATGTGGCTTAATCCAGTTATGTCCATTGATGCCAACCAACTGCAGAATTAAATTCAAACATCTCCCTATATGATGGTATTTATTCAAGAAAGTAAAATAATAATTAACTGTTGACTTGTGTCTTCGAATTTTTTAGTTTTAAACAACGATTACCTTTCTCTTTCCGTTGCCATGCTTGTCTTGAATTTGAAAAGCCACAGCAATGTGACCCTCCACGTTCACTGTTATTCCATTTACAGATCCTTCTTCATTTAGCTGAATTCTGCGAACAAATTCACCATTAACAGTGTATATAGCCAGCGTCAGGCGGTCTGTCTCTCGTTCATGACCAGCAAGGACGACATGGTCACTTGCCGGGTGACATGAAATGCGATAATAGAAATCTCCCTCATATTTGATATTAAATTTGCCAAGCTGGTGTCCCTCCACATCAAATATGTACAAACTGCCATCTTTTAAGTCCACTATCATGACGCGACCATCACAAGTAGCAATGATATCTGTTGCAAACTTGAACACTCCTTCACCAAAGCTACAAACAAACTCGCCACTCGGCTCGTGAACATCAACAACCTCACCTGTCAACAGTTCTACCAACAGCAGAATTTTGCCGCGTTGTTTGCCGCTGCTCACTGTTAGTCTGTAGTCCCACTGCACGCTCCTCACAGGAAACTTGTGATGTAGGTCAGCGGTCTTCTTAAAAACCTGCACTTCACTCTCCCATTCCTCAGCCCTAGGCTTCTTCAGTCTGACCAGTACATAGATCTTGCTGTCCTCGCCTGCAGTGGCGACATCCAAAATATGTAACTGTGTATCGGCGTCATCAGTTTGAGGATTAAAACTAAAATCAAACTTTCCGTTGCTATCAAACACCTTCACGGTTTTATCCCCATCGTCTGCTATCAGGAATTGGCCTGTGGTGTTTGTAGCGATACCACACGGATTCTTCAGCTTGTGCTCCTCTTCACCCTCCAGACCAAATGACCATGGTGTAACCCAACAGTGCTCCATATTGACTTTGTGCAGTACCTTTGATATTCTTCCATCGCGTAGAGGGTCAACCTTTTCTTCTCCGGTGTCAACATATGGCCAGAACCAGACGTTTACACCCCTACCAACAGCTTGTGTCGCATCGTAGATGACGCGATTTATCTGACATACAATGGAAATAATCTCTCTTCGCTCATCTTTACCAAATCGACCTCTGACATTTAGTTGACTCTTCTCAAACTCGACGTTAAAACATTTTTGAACAGCTGGAAGGGAGTGCAGTTTCTCAAGACACTGTTTGCACTCTGGCAACGCTCTCTTCAAAACGCTTCTCAAGTCGCCAGCGGTTCCTACAGCTATATCAGCAGCATACTCTAACATTGCCGCCATCACACGATATCGAATGGCTGTAATTTGATCAAACGTACTGAGCGCTTCATTATTGGAGGCATCTGTTGCTTTTTCACGAGCCAGTTTGAATCTCTCTTTTGCGTCAGAAAGCGCTGTTTTCGCTTCTTCGTCGACCAAATTAATCAGCTGGATGTTTTTGACTTCCGAAGCGAGGACAACTGTGGTTTCAGGAGAAGTGGCTGAAGGCAAAGTTAACTCATCAAGACGTTTTTCTTCGTTTCTTTCAGATTCTTGTGCTGCTCTTCTAATAGCACTGTCGCTGTGTCTTCCATAAACTGCATCATTCAAAAACCTTAGTCCTGTTTCAAAGTAATCTACAGCTGCCCCAAGATCTTTTCGTGACAATGCATCCAGCTTTGACTTGATGTCTTTAATGTCACTGACGATTAGGTCCCGAAATTTTTGATCTGTTACATCGCCTTCTTTTAGCCTTTCTGCCAGTACATTTCTGGCTTTTGTAGCGGCCAAACCAATAGTGACCTTAAAGACGCTTGTTATGATCGCAGACATAACTGTAGGTTATATGGGGTATGTTGTAAACCTGTAATCAAAAGTAATTTACAACAAAGGAGTAATGTTAAACAGGCATAAAGTGCGCGAACTTTTTCTAACTAATAAGCAGTCGGGCAAAGACATAAAAACTCAAAAGTAAGAACCTGAGAATATCAGAGCAACAACGGGTTTAAGGCTGAGGAAAACTTAATGCAGGTCACAGAACAAAATTTTTAATATTAAAAAACAGCTAGTTTCTAGTATTAACGCCGAGATCTAGTATGGGTGCAGTGCGAGGAAAGGGCTCCGTAAAATAAAACATGGAAGAGGCAGACGAACGATCACCTTTAACTGATAAAAGTCTGATAAAAGTTGTTCTGACAAACCTAAATTTTAAGCGTCGAAACGGGTCAGGGTCAGGAAGGATAGAAGGATGGGAAATCGGCGATTTCAAGTTTTTCCCCTCCTCCCCATCTTTCTGTTGTAAATTGTGCCTTCAAGAAGCCTACCTCAATCAAAGGAGGGGAGGAAGATTTCATTCCATTCCAGTTTGATCAAAGGTTTGTTTCTCACAGAGAAGACCGCCATAAATATAGAGGTGTTGGGAAGAGTGCGAGGAGTGAATTCGTGGTTTTTTACTTCCGCCCCCCCCCCCCCCTTTTTTGTTTGAAATGTAGACGCAAAGAGAAAAAAAACGAAGAGGGTGGGGGGGGTAATTTTTTTGTTTTTTCTTTTTTTGAAAATTGTTGTGATCTAGAAAAGAAATCCGCAAAAGAAGTGGGGGGGGGGGGGGGGGGGGGGGGGGGGCGGCGAAGACCACAATTATGAACTGAAGCACACACTAACCGTAAGCAGTTTGTACGTGGAGAAGTTGGTCTTTCTAAATGCAAATTACTTTTTTTGGCTAAAGTTGCCGGTGCACGTATACGAAACTTGAAAACAATGCCAGTGAAAAAATGAGATCTAATGAGGACGCTCACTTGTGTACAGTACACAACATCAGGGGAAAAATATGACATTTGAAGCCCATTTAATGGCCTTCCTTGATTTCAATGTCCTTGAAACTTGGATAAACTGATAATTAATCTCGGGATTCTTAATTGCTTTTAATTATTTATTATTAATATTATTCATTCAAAATATTTCCCCGATTCTGATTGGCTAAAAGCACACGTTTAATTCACTATAACCAGTTCCTGATGACCAAATTTGAAAGAATTTTGTGTTTAGCGAGGAAATGACGTCAAAAATGCAGGTTGAGTTGTTTTGGTCGTGAACATGAAAAATTGCGGACATTTCACTCGTTTCAAGAGTAAGAACTAGGCGAAAAAACAGCTAAAAACATGGCAAGAACAGCAAGAAGACAACTCAAAGGGCGACATCTGCTATTTGGAGAATATTTGCGGAGCTGAACAACCCTAGAAACGTGCACTATCGAAGATGAACTTAACATCGATGGATCGATGGAGGTAAGCATGTTTTAGCCATGTTTTTAAACTAGGAATTATTTTGAAAGAATAATAAAACAATTATTGAATTCGGCTTTCGTATCATATGAAGAATTACGGAGATCGAGGAGGGTGTTATCTCTCCAGGCCGTACTCAGCCTCATTCATTAATTGTTAAATATCGAGTGGTTCTTAAATTATTGTGAACAAATTTGTAGGCGTGGACCAAATTACATAAAAGAGTGATAAAAAAGCAGCCGAGCGCAAGCTAATCAAATTCCTCTTTCTCGCAATCAGCCGAAGCAAATTAATTCTCCTCTTTTTTCGTACACTGTTTCAAATAGAATCAAACCACCATGAGATGAAACTGCATTTCCAGACCTCATCATTTTCATTTACATATTTCTGGCCAATTAATGTTGTCGATAGCATGTCCACTGTTTTTATGAGCCGTAAAACTTCGTTCAAAATATTTCCAAAATGCTCTCATAGAATTTGTCCACACTTTGTGCCATAACCAAGGCAACTAAGGGAGGTACATGACAACTCCCATGTCAATGAATCATATCTCAACAAATTTTCATCTTTTTGTAGTAGGGCTGTGATAACCGGTAAGTTCCAATATTATTGTTATTATCGACGTCGTCAATACTCCAGCTTAAGAGGTATTCACCCTAAAAAAAATCCAGTCTTGCCAACTTGAAGCAATAAAGCATCATGTGGATTCCCGCCGGCCGAGAATCTGTGTTCTTTGATGAAATGGAGTCAAACATGATCTAAGCGCAGAAAAGTATCACTGAAAGGAAAGTGTCAAATAAGCTATTCGGTCTGTGAGCCTTTCTAAAATGGTGGTACCTAAGCTGAAAAAATCGAAAAATGAATTACATTATTTTCCTCGTTGACTTCCTCAGTGACTTATTGTAAACTTCTCCGTTCGCCACAAAGCACCGCTATTATTATAAATAAAACGCGTTAACTAAGGTCTCTACATACCTCACCAGTACGTTTATGTGACAGTTTGGCGCTTTAAATTATACCTCTCTCTTACTAGTCACTGTTTAAATCTTGCAGGGAAACCCAGTTGGACCACCCGAACAGTTTGGGACTTAAAATAGAAATGTGACACAAATTTGGCTTACTGTAAAAAAAGGAAGCCAAGGTTTTGAAATAAACGTGACTAATCCCATAAATATATGTTGATAAAAACATTATATTGTATTTTAGCACGTAAATGTCATTTTTCTTTTTTAACTCGAAGCAACGGTTTTAAAGCAAATTTTCTTCTCCGTACAGTTGTCAGTTCCAGGTAACGTCATGTTCATGGCATTTTTAGTTTCGTATATTGAAAGAACAGGGAAGTTTATGATTAAAAACAAAGGACGTTTTAGAGAAGGTGGCGGGTTGATTGCAAGGCAAGGAGCAATGAAGAGCGGTTGTATTCGCAGCCTTCTGACGTGCAATGGTCTCTTTAAAGACACATAGCATTAAGCGGTTTGTAACTTTAACTTTTTAAGTCTCTGCTTAAATCTTGAGAAATGCAGTTGGACCAGAAGAATAGTTTAGGACTTTAAATACAAAAACAGGAAGTTTAAGGTTTGAAACGTCACTTCTCGCATGGATATAATGTTAATGAAAAACAACGTTTTGTGTATTTCAGCACTTAAACGTCATTTTCTCATGTAACTCGCAGTTAAAAATAGAGATCTTGAGACATTTTTACACGATTTCTTAAAAGCAATTACCATGCAAATCTCTTTGCAGTCGACTTATACCAAAGTATAAAAGTCATCATATTTGTTAGACCCCTCCCCCCTTTTGTCAGTGTCAAATATAGGATCTGTTTTTTTTTTCCTTGTTTTATTGTATCGCATGCTCCGGTACTTATGAGTGACAGGGTGAAGCGAATCCTGCCGGTTATGTACTGATTGGCTACCCAACGTAATTAGGCAAGACAGGCCTATCAGGCCCGCTTAGGATCAACTGCTTTGTCCTTTGTATAGTAGATCAAGCCAGTTCGGTCAAGATCGCTGAATATTAGCCTTATTCCTTTACAGCGTTAAAAGAAGAACACCGCCAATGACCAGTGATATTGTTCCGTCGCTTATAGTCAAGAACGCATAAATACATTGGCAACACTAAGGGAATATCCATCAGTTATTAGGCAATTTTCCAGCAGAGACGGAGATCAAACAAAAGATATGTTTTTCTTAAATGACAAGAATAATATGCATATTATAAACGCAAACATGCTGTAAAATACTCCAGATATAACTTAAACTCTTTCAAGCTGTGAAAATTGTCAAAATATCTCATAGATTAATTTGGTTTAACACTGATTTACATGTGGAAGTCAATGCGTCAATTTTCTTCACAACCTTTAGCAAATTTATTCAGTTCTAAATGAATAAAGTGGCCCACTCTGTGAAAAAAAAAATGTACTCTCCATTTAGTTGGTTGATTATTACAGATTGTAACCGTTTCTTTTGACTTAGCCCGTCTATAGTTGGAGAACCGTGGGCGTCTGTGATTCACCAGGTTGCTAATCGCGTGTGATGGAAGGGAGCGGCTGTACTAACAACCACAGGCAGCCCAAGCGCACTATTTGTGGGTTCGGGCTTCAGAGGTCATTTGGTCGGAATATACTAGAATTATTAGAGTGTTATCTGATGCCAAATGAATGCAAAAAGTCTCAAAGATATGAAGTCTTCTTGTTTGTCTATCGGTACTAGTAGCCTTTAAGATAACGAAAATCGATATTTCTTGCATTATTACATGTGATTCGGGCCCTTATTGATCGAATTTTATACATGTATTCGAATCTACAACGCTATGAAAAAAAAAATCATGATCACGCGAAATATTGATTCAAAAAGCTCCCTTACCTTTAGTTCATAGCCACTCTGTGTCCTACGGTCGGTTTAAACGCCGTTTGGTCGACTTTCTTTCCATCGAGTACTGAACACTATAAATTTTGCTATTTTTGGATTCTAAAGAATGATTATCAAAACACAAAAACGCAAAGAAGGAACTTGGCAAATACCCACATTGACCCACTGCCAAGACATCACAAGCTTATGCTTGGTCAATAACGCATACAATTAGGCTAAAAACTAAGCAATACTGTCAGGCCACTTTCCATGGAGATAAAAATTGAAACTGATAAATAATTGCCAAGAAGCATGTGCATATTAATGAAAAAAAGGCACCATTGTTTCAGGCAATACTTTGGCCCCGTTCACATGTATCCGTTGTTATTTGAAAACGAAGATTTTTTGTTGTTGTTTGATTTGGTATGTTTTGTTTTGTTTTGTTTTCTCCGGTTTGGCATATCGATGACAACAGTGTATCCGGTGACAACAGTTACCGAAAATGCATCTTATCAAAATGCTTTCTAAAGTGGAGATTTTTGAATACGTTTGCTTCTCGTTTACGTGCAGTGGACGGACGAAAACGGGAGGTTTTCGAATACCATGATGTCATAAATCATATGCCACGAGTTGCTATCGTATTTCCATCGTTTTCAAATTGTGAGGATGGACGTAAACTTTGACCTTTGCTACCTGTGGAAGC